GCTCCAGGAGTTGGTTGGTGAGCACAGAATGATGGTGCGGCAGTGCAGTGCACACACACCCAACTTGCTAGATTTAATGCTTACAATGAAAGTGAGCTGGGCCAAAGGATCCAGAGGGAGGAATAGGGGAGACCAGCTTCCTAGGGTGCAATGGGGAGTCCCTGGGCATAAAATCAGGAGTCTTGGGTCTTCATGCAGGGTGTCTACTCTCCTAAGCTTATGGATATGTGTTCAGGTTCTTGTGTTTTGTTTTCTGCTTTGGATATATCAGAAAACTCTACCACTGAGCTAGGTCCCCAGTCCACTTTTTAAAAATTAATGTGGTGATATGTATGTATGTATATATGCATGCATATATTTTTAAGAGATGAGATCCTGCTATGTTAACCAGTTAGCCTCAGAATTCTGGCCTCAAGCAATATTTCCGCCTCAGCCTCTCAAGTGGGTAGGACTGCAAAGGCAAGCCACTGTTCTTGGCTACAAACCATATTTAATTAAGAGCAAAAAAAAAAAAAAAAGTTAACTCTTAAATTGGGGCTTAACATGAAATCCTGATTTTCCATATCTTAGAAATGAGCCAATCTGGAACTTTCAGAGCCACTTTTCTCCCTGGGAGCAGTGGCCCTGGCACTGACGGACTTCCCTTTAGAAAGCCTACACACTGTGGGCCCTGCCTGTCTAAGACGTGGTTCTGTGCACTTCTCTGGGCTGCCTGCCTATGCTCCAGAAGTAGTTTGTGAGCCCAGCCCTGTGCTATGCTGGGGAGATGACTCAGCTTTACTTTCCCTATCTGCCTTTTTCTCTCTTAATCACCATCTGCCCTCCCTGCCTGGCCATAGTTTCTGTTCCTCTTAAGTCTACCCTACGGGTCACCGCTTGCAGTCTTTGCTGTCTTAGACTCTGCTCCTGGATCTTTCTGTGCAGCCCTCCCCCACCTTGGCCAGTGCTCTTTCTACTGAAAGAGCACTGGCCAAGATGGGGATCAGATCCATAAAGGCTCTCGTAGTCCAGGGAATTAGCCAGGCTGCTGAGTCTAAAGGCTGATTACTCTGGGTAGGGGCCCAAATGTGTCCAAGAGAGCTGTGACCAAGGCCCCGGGTGGGGGTAGAGTCATAAATCCTGTCTTTTAGTTTGTTTGGATCTCAGTTGAAAACTGATTAGCTGTTCTCAGACTACAGCACACCCTGCATTCAAGGCCTTCCTGGGGCTTCCTTTCCCTTTTCATCCCTCTAATTGTATTTCAAAGATAGATCAATAAATCCTAGGTTACAATTTTAAAATGTTGCCTTACTGTGGGTCACAAGCTCCTGATCTGTCCATTGCTGCTCACTACTGAAACTGCACCCTTATTTATCTGCCTGCATTTTATTTGTTCATCTTGTCACTTCAGAGTCCTCTACCACCACCTCCTGCAGCCATACTGATAGTATCGTTGTGTGTGTTCTGTCATGTGGAGAATTATCTTTATGCTATGGGAGCCTCCAAGTACAGTGTGAGGCAGATTGATCCAGAGGTCATACAATACAAAAAACTCATACAGCAATTTAGGGTGCTTGGAACTGGGGGCAGAGTTTAGTGATAGAGCAAGCACACGCTTAGCCTGGACAAAGCCCTAGGTTCAATCCCCAGCGTTACTTTTAAAAAATTAGAATACTTAAGTCACATGACTTACTAGATCAATTTAAAGCACATGGCGAGAAGAGATGGAAGTGATGGAGTGGGCAAATACACACCGGGAAGGGTGCCAGGGCGCTGGAGGTTGGGTACTGCCTGAACACTGGGTAAGCGCTGCTTGTGTATCTTCTCTGTTCCCTCCACCCTCCTTCTGGCTTTAGCCTTCCTCACTTGTAATCAGCTCATCTCCTTGTAGAAATAGCTTGCCAAATAAAGTTACTGGGTTTTGTGGTTGCTCTCCTCTTAGTTTCCAGATCCTGCTCGTCTTGAATGAAAGAAGAAAGAGTGAAAGAACCAAAAATGGTGACAGAGTTATCTGAAAAGGTGAAGGTAGAGAGGGAGGGAGAAACTGGTTCTGCAATGAACTTGGGCCAAACAAAAGGGAGGAGAAATTAAAAACCAGAATAAAAGTACACCCTGGGGCCACAGGGTGGGGTAGTGTGACATGACATGACAGCAAGCTCTTCTTGGTGTCTGTGTCCCTTTATGCTGTCCACATCTCACGGAACCTACAAGAATTTCTGCATACAGGGTCCTGAGATTTATTTGACATGCGTCCTTGTATCTTATAATTAACACATCCTACTTATTCCCCCAGCTAGCTTTGTCTTGCCCTACTTTCCTGCCTCACGCCAAAGGCAAGTTTTAAGAGCTAGACTTGAGGACAGAGGGAATCCAGCAGACAAAAGGGCCCCAGGGCAAATGCACATACTTGGTCTATTAGAGAATCAAGGACAAGTAGGCCTGGTGTGTTAGTCAGCTTTTCATCACTGGGACAAAATACCTGAGAAAATCAATTTATAAAGAGTGTATTATTATTTTGGCTCTGGGTTTCAGAGGTTTCAGTCCATGGGTGCTTGACCCTGCTGCCCTTGGGCCTGTGGCACACAATACACCACAGTGGGAGTGCATGAAAGAGCAAAGAGAGAGAGGAGAAAAAGGAAAAGGACACCTTTACAAAGTCATGTCCTGTTTTTAGGAGAGGGGGGAGAGAGAGAGAGAGAGAGAATGAGAGCCTAGAAGTTTTCTTATATCTGCTTCTCCTCAATTGCCTTCAGTTTAAAATATTCTTTTAAGGGGCTGGGGGTTTAGCTCAGCGGCATAAGCACCTGCCTTTCAAGCAGATGGTTGTGAGTTCGATCCCCGGTACCAATAAAAAAGAAAAAGACTAAAAAAAAAAAAAAATTCTTTTAGGCCAAAGTGGTATATTTTGGACTGGCACTTTCTTCTATTTGTCATTCTTAATGTTATAAATTGTTACTCCCTGGAAGCAACCAAGGAAGATGCACTTTTATTATCAGGCACTAGAAGTTGATGCCACATCTAAACAGATTCTGTTAGAAGACTTGTCATTCTTCCATTTATTTCCAAAAGGGCCCATTTATGCTTTTCCATACGTGCCTTGTTTTGCCCCCTTCCCCTAGTAATTTCCTTGGTCATTGGCCTTTTGTCAGTTTAATTTGCAGACCCCTAAGCCCAGAATTTAAGGAGGGTAGAGGAAAAGGTTTTCCTTGCTAACAATAGACAATATCTTCCTTCTCCTTTCCTGTACCAGTATTCTGCTTCTGGGTGACTTTCTTCACTAAGCAGTATTCCCCAACCATGGTTATTCAACGGAATCTCCTGGAGCACTTTTTTAAAGTATGGATTTCTGGACATTGCCACAAAGGTTCAGATTTAATTGCTGGGGTTGCCTTCAGCCTTTGAGGTGTGATTGGGGCGCATTCAACACCAGGACCTTCCCTGACATTCTACAATTTTCCTTCTCTCATTGACCTGGAACTCAACTGGGTATGAAGAACTAATCACCACTAAGCAGTAAGTGGCCAGTTTACTTCTCACTAGGGTGCAAACACCTTAGTGTGTGTGTATGTGTGTGCGGTGCTGCAAACTGAACCCAAGTCCTCATGCATGCAAAGTATATGCTGTCCTACTGAGCTACACCCTCAGAAAGTAAACTTTTAACAAGAAAACAATGGTTAACAGCAACACATCTCTAACTCTCAGACTATTTGGCCATGTAGAAAAGTAAAAGAAACTCTATAGAGTTTAGACAGAGGCCAAGCCTAAGCCAAGGATCCCAACTCCAACTGCAAATGGGAATTACCCAAGGAGTTTTCATCCTCAGGCCAGTTTCTTTGCTGGGAAACACATGGACATTCATTTTAAAGCTCTTTTTTATCATTTGAGTAAGTGTACTGCAAAGACCAAGTGTTGAGAAATTAGTTCCTGGTGCTATTTGTAGTTGATAAAACCTTTTAGAGGCTTATTGGAAGGGGGTTAGGTTCAATTGGGAACTGGCCCTTGAAGGAGATATTGGCACCCTGGCCCCTCCTCTCCCTTTCTTTTTAATTTTGTGACTGTCACAAAGTGAACAGCTTCTTCTACCAACTGCTCGCACTATGATACATGATACACTACTTTGCCAAAGGCTAAAAACAATAAGGCCAATTGACCATGGACTGAAACTTGCAAAATTGTGGGCTAAAACAGACCTTTATTTTTTTAAAAAAAGTCAATGATCTGAAGTATTTTGTTATGTTAACATAAAGCTGACTAGTGTATTCCTGAGTGATTTTTAATTATGGCAGTTTTGATTGAAGACCTCTGCCTTCAAGGCTTTCTGCATTCCTTAGTTTCTTGTTCTATCCTCTGTGCGTCTTTTGTGTTTTGTGTTTGTTCTTTTATATGTTTACATTTATCTGCAGGCCAGTGCGGGCTCTGATGTGACAGATTGGTGTTAGTCTTCCTGTAGGCAAAGGAGGTGAGTCAGAAACCGCCTCTGTGAGTATACCGTGGACATCTCTAAGGTGGCATGGTGAGAAAAGTCATCCTTGCTTATCCACATGCTACCTGCCTGAAAACTTCATATGCATCCAGCACAAGTGAGAACCAAGAAATAATCCTTGGCTGGGCTGTAGCTGCATGGTGGAGCATCTAAGCCTGCACAAAGCCCTGTGTTCCATGCTTAGCACTTTCATCTCCCTCTCAAAAAGCCCTCATGAAGTTCTTCCCTAGTCAAGTAGAGTTCCTGATGTCATTATAGAATTATCTTAATTCCTTGATTGATATTCTTACCACTTTAATGCTACAGAAAAGTTTGGCTCCTACTTGTGAAGAAGGAGGGAGCCTCGAGGCATTTGTAAAGGTTTTTCTCCTTTACTGAACTCTTGGTGTCTGAAGGAACAAGGTGCAAAAATTTGCAAAGCTTCAGGCGGAAGATAGAGTTTAATAGTAGAGTGCTTATCTAGCATGTATAAGGCCCTGGGTTTGATCCCCAGTACCACCACCCAAAGAAAACCACAAATGGTAGATTTATGAGCAACTAGGTAAATAATGTATGTATCTGTATTAGGGAACATAATAATAATAGTAATATTTGTTGGGCAGTTATTATGTATTAGGTACTGTGCCAAAATAATAATACATTTTAGGTTTGCTAGAATGTATTATTTCACATCAGTCTGTTGACAAATGCTTCTTAGCTCCCTTTTACACAGAGGAAACACAAGTACAAACTGAGGCACACACACACATGAACAGGGTCAAGAATGGAAGTTGAAGCTTAAATTCAGGCCCCTCTGCACTCTGTTCAACTCACATATCCGGGGCTCACCTTCCAGGTGCCTGTTAAGTCCTTGTTTGTGTTAATGTTTCCTAGAGACATTGCAGAATGCCCAGCTGCTTAGATGGCAAGCAAGAAGCAGGAAATCCCCCAAGTCTGGGGAAAATTCCAGTGGAGATGAAGCAGGTCGAACTATTGTAAATCTGCAGCAGGGACATGGGTGGGCCGGTTGGTCTGGCTGGCGATGCCACAGCAACTGGAGAAGCTTTGGCTTTTCTTCCCTCTCTGCCACACACCCCACCCACACAGTGGCCTCCATTGAGCAGGAATTTGGCTTCTGAAATTGTGTCTGTGAGCAGCAGAATCCACAGACCTCAGAAAACCCCAACATCTCCCTCTGCTGGCCGTTGCCTAAGATTACAGAGCCTCAGTAATGCCAAAACCTTGTGATGTGGCTCCTCTCTCACTGGTATCCAGGTCACAGGTGACTGCAAATGTTCTGGCATCCTGTCCCCCTTCTTCAGGCAGTACTGTCACCAGTTCTGTGTGATTTCATGTTCCTTATCAGAGAATCAGATAGGAGCATCTTTGCACAGGAAGAAGGCTTTTTTTTTTTGATACTTGGAGTTAAACCCAGGGCCTTCTCACTAAGATACATCCCTAACCCCTTTTTGTTGTTTTATTTTGAGACAGGGCCTCGGTAAGTCACTATATTTCCTATATTGAGCTCTAACTCGTAATCCTCCTACCTCAGCTTCCCAGCATGTGCTAAGGGGGAAAGCTATGGGTGACTCAAATGAAGGGCAGAGGTGAATAGCTTTTATGACATCTATGAAGTAGGCAGGGACCCAGTCACAGCTGTCATCACATGCAGAAACAGAGTGTTAGCTGCACCCATGCTCTGCTTTATCATAACACTGGTCTTGTTGCCATCTTAAGTCTTTGCTTTGAGTTGTGATTTTTGCCATGTTAATGCTGTACAGCTCACTCTGGTGACTATTTAGTGCCTGCATTTGTCCTTGACCACCCCAAATTTGCCCATTATCATCTGAGGAAGTTCCTAATTTGGTTTTAGATTGGGCAGATCGCTCCCTTGCCTCAGTGGATCTTGTCTTCCTTAGCCCTTGCTTCTAGGTATCTCTGCTTACCCACACAACCCTTGAAGGCTGAGCTGACTTCACATCCTGCTGTCTCATAGCTGTGATGACTGATCCACTGTTTTACTCTCAGTTTCCTGGGGTAAACTGTTTCCCTCCCAGTGTCATGTCCCCCAAACCCACTAGAGCCATAGTCTCAGAATCCACCCGACTTGGCCATGGCACTGGCATATTACCCAAGATGGTGATGGGATGGCTGTGGGGGTGAGCACGTAACCCTAAGCAAGACAGTCCTGGACATTACACAGTGGAGGTCCTTTCTTCCTCTGGGGTCTTTCTAGTGGGGCTGTCAGTTGGGCCATGAAAGAAAAATCCCCAAAAGATTGAGCTAGGGCTCCTAGAGAGTTTTGTGTTTCACATTGATCATGCGGGTATGACTCCAGACAGCTGTAATGGGAATACACTCTATCGGTACTCTACCACTGAGCTGCACTCCCAGTCAGATACTATACCCAGCTTCTGTGTGTGCTGCTGTGGATGGAAGACAGGGCCACACACATGCTAAGTCCGTGCTTCACTGCTGAATGATCTCAGCCTGCACTTCACTTCTGTTGAGACGATGCTATTCCGTTGTGTCAGGGGAGCTTTTGAGATGCAATGAACTAGTAGTGTGCTACATGAGTTCTTCTTATGTCAGTGAACTGTGCAGTGTTGTTTTAAATGATCAGGAGAGTCCTTCTGTCTGTCTCTCCTGGAAGATATCAGTCTCAGTCACTCTCGGTGCTGAATTTGCAAAGTCTTTGGAGAGGCTCTCTAAGGCTCTGATGGTGCAGACCCGGCCTGAAATGGCTTCTTGAACATTCCCTCAAACCCGAGAAAGGTGTTAGTGAGCCTCCTGCTTAAGCATTTTACTTCTGTAAAATGTTTCTCTTAAATAAAATCTAGTTCAGACTTAAAATATATACATGCCTAGAATAACAAATGGGACTCCAAAAAACGGAGGACAGATTTCCCCAACATCCATCTGGTGAATCCCCATTAAAGCCAGTGGCCCATGGAGTGCTAACCAGACAGGCAGCTGGATTCCTTTCTGGAGACTGATTTCTGGTTGTGTGGGGCCCATGCAAACTGAGAACAACTGAGGGGTCATGGCCAAGACACCCACGGTTTCCTCAGTGGGCACTGGCTCCCCAGCCACAGAAAACGCTTCCTTATCTACCTGGATCTTTCTGGTGTTCCCTAACTAAAGGTTACGAAAATTAAAGGTGTTTCCTAAACTTTTCAGGTAGTTAAGACTACTTCTCTCAAAACTAGACCAAGGCACTCTGCAAAAGCTTTTTACATTTGACAAGAAACTAGCAGGAAAGGATTTACATTTGTGCCTTACCTATGTTAATTAGGAATAAATAGCCTTTTTCTCTTCTGTGCCTTTAAGTACTGGTAAAAATGTGATTGCTAGATGCTAATTTATAAATCTAACCTGTGAGCTTCAAAGATACAGAAATTTAAATAAAACATAGCCATGTCCCTCCACTAGAAAAGATTACCTAGATAGTTAGAGAACACAAATGCCTTGGAAAATTTGTCTGAGGGCCCAGGGCAAAGTTCCTTAAGTTTATTTGTTGTCTATATTTCCTGGGGAATCTCTTTCCCAGAACAAAAATGCTTTAGCCCAACTTTGCTTACAATAAACAAAAAGCAGTAGTTTGGTACACATTTATACTTCCTTCTTTAAGCATTCCTAATGGAAACAAAGTTTATGAGCTATCTGGGAAGATAAGATTGTGTACCAGGCCAAGGGTGGATAGGCTGACCAGATCTATTTCCATGCTCTCCAGAAGACATCCATCTCCTCTGGAGCAGTTTCAACCCAAGGGACATCTAGAGAACATTTATCAATAGGAATAAAAAGGGATGCCCTATTTCCTTTTTGTATAACTAGATAGCTCAATATCATTCATAGGTCAGAGAAAGCTCCTGAGTTTGATTCCTGGTCCTGGGAAAAAAAGATTGTATACACTTATACCCTGCATTAGCATTACAGACATGGCCAACTCAGGGCCAAAGCCCCTTGTTCTTCTGGAACGTGTTCTGAAGCACTGGAAGATGTTTGACCCTTGTGTTATACTCTAGCCAAAAAGTGCTGTCATCTTGTTCTGTGTTCGCCTATGCCCTCGTTATTTGCCCTAATTACCTTGTGAATCCCTTTGCTAAAAGCATCTGTTTCTCACAGCTGACCACCCTGGAACAACCGACCACAATGTTGTAAATTAACCAAAATGCCACCATACTGTTCTGTATGCGCCGTCCACCTGATAACATGCTTGCCATGAGGGCTCTGCCTTGCTGGCTCTGCTGTTCAACTGGGTTGTGCCAGAGCTGGGCCACGAGCTGGCTGAAGAGCTCATCCTGCAGCCCTGGCTGGCGCTGTGCCTGCCATACCAGGTAAATGCCCATGATCTGCTCCTGCCAGGGCTGCAGGAATCCATCCCCCAGGAGCCGCAGCATCTAGGACACAAAGTGGGGCCAGGGCACGAGTATAGGACTCTCATGTGCTGGTCCAGCCCCTGTGAGGGACTCTGTCCTCTCCCTGATGTGTCACTCACCACCTTGTTGATGTCCAGGGCATGCTGAGGGTTCTCTCCCACCAGCTGAGTCAGTGGTTTGGTCAGAGGCAATCCTGGGCTGGGCAGGGATGGCTCCTGCAGAGAAGGAGGGTGGTACAGAGCTTGTCCTCTGTGCTTATAAGGGCTAGGGAAGTATCCAGGGGGACCCCCATAGAAGCATGCACCCTGAAGAAGGGGAGGCATTGGGACGTAATGTCATCTTAGCAATGTATCTTTCTAGCAAGGCAATGGTGGTGCAAGCCTATAATCCCAGCATTTAGGAAGCTGAGGCAGGAGGATCACCCTGAGTTTGAGGCCATCCTGGGCTACATAATGAGACTGTCTCAAAATAGTAACAATGACAAAAATGTGCATTTCTGTTTGTTTCTTTTGGCTTTGATTTTTTGGTATAAGGTCTCACTATACAGTTCAAGCATGTACCCAGGCTGACCTAAAACTCAGGGAGGATCCTTCTGCCTCAGCCTCCTGAGTGCTGAGATTACAGGAATATGCCACCATGCCCAGCTCAGAAATGTATCTTAGTAGTTATTTGATTAGAAGATTGATATCATACATGCAAAAAACAAAAAAGACTACAAATTAAAACTATCATTAACATTCTGCAGCCAAAGTTAAACCATAGTTAGCATTTTAGCCTTTTTTTCATGTTTCTTTGTGTGGTGGCTGTTTTTTTTCTCTCATTTTGTAGGGCAGGCTGGCCTTGAACTCACAGTGCAGTCCAAGCTAGTCTCAAACTCAGGGCTATCCTCCTGCCTCAGCCTCTGGAATGCTGGGATTAAAAGCTTGTGCCACCAAGTTCAACTCTTGTTTTAACTTCTATGCATGGAGACATCTGGCACACCCCACCCTTTTGTTTGTTTGTTTTCTGTGTAGGTTTTTTTGGTAGTAAGGATTGAACTCAGGGCCTTCACACTGAAAGGCATCCCCAGTATTTTTTTTTTTAAACAACAACAACAACAACAAAACCAGTCTTGCTAAGTCATTAAATTGCCCAGGCAGGGCTCAAACTTGTGATTCTCTTGCCTCCCCCTTCCAGCACGCGGGGATTACAGGCCTGTGGCACCAAGCCTGGCCCCTGTTGTCTAAAGAGAATTGGGATTCTACTATACGTGTAGTTTTGAATCCTGCTTTTTTATGTTGCACCGCAGCCTGGGCGGTTTCTGCTGTCAAACATTCTTTAATGGAACGACTTCAACAGCAGGACAGTACCACAAGAATACAAAGGTGTGGCCTCCGGACTGAAATAACACTCCACGGTGTACTGTTTCAGTTGAATGGGTATTTTCAGAGCAGTTTCCAGAAAGTGGAGGAAGGGAGAGGCCAAGCTTCTGCTTGGCGGTGCTAACGGTGGGGAATGCTGGGCCTGGAGGAAGCACACAGGCCTGGGGCTCACCTGAAAGCTGGGAGAGATGAAGCTGGAGAAGGGGAACAGGTCAATGTCTGGCGGGAGGGTCAGGCGGGGCCGCACCGGAACCTCAGGAGGAAGAGTCTCAGTGATGAGTCCAGCCAGGGTGTCCTGGTGGCCTGGGAAGGAGCAGCGGGAGGCAGCACAGAGACACCAGGTGTGATGCCAGGAATGGCACCAACCCTACCGTCCTCGTTGGTCACCAGCCCCTGTCAGTAAGGAGCTGGCAGGGAGCTGACAAGAGAGGTAGCCCCACTGTGTCCCTCACCCCCAGGATGATAGGAATATCCTCTCCGAAGACCAAAGACTTTGGTCCTGGGTACTTAAAAGAGAAGCACCCCAAGAACCCTTCTAGGGAAGAAAAGGCATCAAAGAGCCACAGGCACCTCATCTTCACTCAGGGGCACATGAGGGACAAGACCCCTGGTGGCACCTCTGCCTCCAGCCTTCCCCCAAGCTGAACTGAGTGTGGGGGTTCATACCCCATGGAGAACCTCTTCCCTTGAGAGACCACTTACCATGCTCTGTACTCTCTCTGAGATCCTGCCGCTGCGCTGGCCACACCAATGCCCAAGCTGTGGGGAGACACAGGATGAGCTGAGGCCTCAGCGGACCCACTACGACCCTCCCAGCAGCTGCTCCCCACCAGGGGGCCCTGACACCCTGCAAAGGAACAGCAGACCGAGAGGGACAGCTGCCTGCCGTGCCATGCGCCCCAGCTGCTCCCAGCCTTCTGAGCTCTCACTGTCTCTGTGCTGTGGACGTCACTACCTGTCCGCCCAGGGTGCTGGGAAGAGGGCAGGAAGAAGGGGAGAAATGGTCTCAGAGGACCAAGTCCAGCCAGGGAGAGGCCAGGGATGGGGACAGAGTGTGGGTGCTGACCTTTGAGCAGCTTTATGGCCCTCAAACTGGAGTCGTTAGGCAAGAGGGGGAAGAGTAGGGGCCCACGGAGGACTAGAGGGGACGGAAGGAACCCCAGGGGGAGAAGGGGATGTGGGAAACAACAGTGGCCTCCTAGGGCCCCTGCCTGCCCTGGTCAGGCAGAAGGAAGGGGAAAAGTTCAAGGAGTGATGGTCTCAGCCTTGGTCCCTGGGAGGCTGGGCTCTTAGGCTGAGCACTGGGGCTCAGCGACTGGCCAGAGCAGGCTGCCTGGCTTCTGCCTTGAGTCTTTTCAGTCTGCCTGCCCAGACTCTGTCACCTTCAGCCTCTGCAGCCTCTGGAGCAGGGGCCGGGCCACCAGGATTACAGTGTTCAGCTGAGCCACAGCTGCGTGCCGTCCGAGGTATCACTTCCTGGAGGCCACCGGGGATGAGGAACAGATCAGGGCTCCACATGGACACTCCCTGCCTGGTACCTGAACCCTCTAAGCCTGGACATTCACGTAGAAACCGACTCTGATTAGCTAGGGCCCTGGAGGTTCAACAGAAGCAACAGGAAGAGAATAGAACACCATAAAACAAGAACAGGTAATTTGAGAGGCTGTTTAACATACGGGGATTAGAACTGGACTGCTGAGCTGAACCATTCAGGCTCAAATCAGCCCTCGCCTGATTAGGTGCCACGGCCTCGGATCAATGGCTTTACCTGTCTGTGATCTATTGGCAAGGCAGACTTTGCTAAAGAGATTTGGGAAGAGGGAATATGTAAATACAATAGCTTGGAAAGTTTCCCAGATATAAGACCAGACTCATCAAAGGAGGCCTGTCCAACACACACATTTAAAAACAGGGTTGGGGGGCTGGGGATTTAGCTCAGTGGCATAAGCATCTGCCTTGCAAGCCTGTGGTCATGAGTTCGATCCCTGGTACCGGTAAAAATGCAAAAACAAAACAAAACAAAACAGGGCTGGGTGTGGCCCCATGCAACAGGACCTGCCTAGTATGACCCTGGTTTTGTCCCCAGAGCCACTCACACACACTTGCATGTACACACACACACTCACACATGCAATACAATCCATAGAATGGGAAATATTTGCAAAGCATATATTTGATAGTAGCTTAATATCCAGAAAATGTTAAGAGCTTTCTTCAGCTCAACCAAAAAGAGATCATCTAATTAAAAAACCAGGGAGAGGACTAGAACAGACATTTTCTTGTAGAAAGTACGCTCATGGTTAAGAAGGACATGAAAATATACTCAACATTTCTGCATACTAAGAAATACAAAGCAGAACCATGAGCTTCTCCTTCACACTCCTGAGGATGGTGATAACTAAAAAGATAGAAGATAACAGAGGACTCAGAAAAGCTGGGATCCTGCTAAATTGCCAGTAGGAATATAAAATGATGAGGGATACCGTTGGGCAGCTCCTCAAAAAGTTCAACATAGAACAAATGACTACAGAAACTTGAAAGCACAGACTAGAGCAGATACTGTATTTGAATACCCATAGTCATAGCAGCATTATTCATAAATAATGGAAACAACTCAAATATCCATCAGTAGATAAACAGATATAAATAATGTGCAGTCCATGAAGGGAATATTACTCAGCCAGAAAAAGAAATAAAGTCCGAGGCTGAGGCAGGAAGATTGCTATGGGATTGAGGCCAGTCTCAGCTACATAATGAGTTCAAGGTTGGCTTAAACTACATGAGATTCTGTCTCAAAAAACCAAAACCAACCAACCAACCTCCCCAAACAAAACAAAACAAACAAAAAGAAATGAGGTTCTGATGTATGCTCTAGCACACATGAAATTTGAAAATATTATGCTAAGTTGCGTGTGGTAGCACACACTTGTGATCTCAGCACTCTAGGAGACAGGCAGGAGGATCACAAGTTTGAACCTAGCCTGGGTAGCTTAGCAATTTAACAAGATCCTGTGCCAAAATAAAAAAATAAAAAAGAAGTTGGGTGTAGCTTGGTGTAAAGACCCTAGGTTTAACATCCAATACCACAAGAACAAAACTGCTACAATAAGTATAGTAAGCCAGACAGAAAAGGAAATATTGTGTAAGTCAGCTCCCAGGAAGTAGCTAGAAAAGCCAAATTCATGGGTACAGAAAGCAGAAGGAAAGTTGCCAGGATAGGGAGTTACTACTGAGTGCTACAGAGTTGCTGTTTATGTGGCAGAAAGTTCTGGACCCAGATAGTGGTGATGGTAACCCCCTCTCCCAAGGTCCCAGACTGCACTTAACTCTCACCCTTGGGGTGGTCGGTGGCTGACTGGCTGTCTGAATCTGACCACTACTAGCTCAGATGTACCATCCCTCCTGTCTGCCTTCCCGCATCACCAGCATCTGACAGGGTGGCGCGGCAGCTGTGTGAACAAGCGGAGACAGGCTGGCAGGGTCAGCGGGCTTCAGCGCAGTGCACAGGAGTTAGTCAAGAAGGGTCATACTATAAAACTAAGAGGTCCAGGGGCTTGGATTTAACTCAGCAACATAAGCGCCTGCCTTGCAAGTGTGTGGTCATGCGTTCGATCTCCGGTACTGATAACAAAAGAAAAAGACAAAAAAAAAAAAAAAAAGACTAAGAGATCCAAGTGGCTGGAGTATAAAAACCCAGCTTAAACCCAGGCTGAGAGATAGGCAGGACCTACACAACCTGATTCATTATTTTTTTTTTATTACTCTTTTTTTGTCTTTTTCTTTTTTGTCAGTACCGAGGATCGAACTTACTACCACACACTGGCAAGGCAGGCACTTATGCCACTAAGCTAAATCCCCAGGCCCCTGATTCATTCTTTTAAATGATTATTCTTTTTTGTTTGTGTTTCACTCTGTTTTTTTTTTTTTTTTTTTTTTTTGTACTGAGCATTGAACTCACTACAAGGCAGGTGCTTATGCTGCTGAGCTAAATCCCTGGCCCTCATTCTGTTTTTTGAGATGAGATCTCAGTAGGTGGTTCAGGCTGGCCTTGAACTCACTGTGTAGCCAGGATGACCTCAAACTCATGGAGATCCTTCTAGCTCAGCTTCCAGAGTGCTGGGATTACAGATGTGTGTGACCATACCTGGCTAAAATAATCATTCGTGCTTCAGGGTAAAGAAGAGATTGAAAAAAGAATGGAAGAGTGAGAACTTCAGTCAAGCAGACTCATAAGGCAGTGACCTTTTCATGCCTGGGAATATTCCAGCAGAGGCTGCTCGGGTAGGGGTTACAGTGCTATTAAGGTTGAGAGACGGCCCTGGGACAGGGAGACTTGTCTTGAAAGCCTGTGTCACCTGGACTCTGCCCCACCACCTTGGGGAGCCCGAGGCCTCTTCCTACCCGCTTCAGCCCTTGAACTGAGCACCTGCTGACCTGGCCTGGAGCCCACGAACTCGAGCCTGCAGCTGGAGCAGGAGGCAGAGCTGCTGTCGGGAGATGCAGGCATGGAGGCCCCGACGACGCAGGGTGAGCAAGGCCTGGGAGCCGTGCTGGGCCCAGAGTTGCTCCAGCTGCCACAGGCCCTGCTCCTGCAGGAGGGCCTGTGGGCAGGGGGCGGCTGCAGATAGGACAGGCCCAGGACACACTGCCCTTCTCTGGCCTCTGCCTCCTCCCTTCCAGCCAAACTGTGTGTTATCCTGGTGGATTGTCCTGAAGGGCACGCCACCCAGCCCACTTCCATTGGGCCACTACTTGCAGGACCACCCACCCTGTGTTTGTCCCTATTTGTGCCTGGAGGTTCCTCTATCTCTCCCTTCATGCTTGACAGGTTACACATGCAGATGCTGGAACTCACCTGGGTAGCCCCAAGGTGACAGAGTGGAGACTCAGCTCCCAGAACCCTGCTGAGGATGGCTCCACACTTCTCCCGGTCAGAGGAACTGCCTTGTCTCTCTGTCCCCAGAGCCCAGAATCTGTCCCAAGGACACAGAGCCTAGGTCAGAAGAGGAAGGGTTCCCTAGGTATCCAGTTTCACGGGCATCCCACAATCTGGGAGCTCTGGTGCAGTCAGGGACTTGGCTGGGTACTGACATTCAGCCATGCACTGGGGAAGTGCGACCTCAGCTTGGTAGAAGAGATGGGAGGTGAGAAGCCCGTACATGCAGAGAACCATGAGGCTGGTTCAGGATGGCAGGGGCAAGAGCAGTATGGTCCTGAGCTCCTGTCTGTCCTGTTGCCCGCACACCCTAACACAGTGGTCTCCAGTGTGGCAGTGGAAGGGAGACAGGTGGGGAAGGGGACACAGAGCAGCAGGGGTGGCTCATCGATAGTCCATTAAAGTGCTAGGGGGACCACAGAACCCCAGCTCCCCCTCCTCCAGCCTCAGGGCTAAGGGTTCCTGGGAGGTGGCAACTGCTGTAGCTGTGCGGTGTCCAGAGGGCAGGGACAGAGCCTTCCTGGCCTGGCCTTCTTCAGAGCAGGCTTGAGAGCAGGCCTGCAGCTCTGCCCCTTGGTCAGGCTGTCCTCACTGCTAAGGCCATTATGACAAATGGGGAGCCACCAGAGTGTGGGGTGGGGCAGCCCATCAGGGCATTTTGAGAGGCCACTGGGGGCCAGTGGCGATGCCAAATAGGCAAACAACAATTTACCAGCTTTTCCAGAAGTTTCCAAAGTCTCCAGACAGCGCCACCCTCATCCTCACTGTGCCCCACTGCCCCACTGCCGGCTTGGTCTCCCCTCCTGGCTGGCCATCTCCATCTCACTAAGCCAGCTCCGTCTACACTAGGGGCCAGCCACCCCAAGGCAGGCACTGTCCCGCCCTCTCTAACCGGGCTTTAGCCTGCAGAGTCTTGGGTGGGGGCTGGGGAAGGTGGGAGGGACAGTAAATAAGGAGGACGGAAGAGCAAGGAGAGGAGGGAAAGGAGAGGCTTGGAGGCCGGGTGCAGACCGTGGGGAAATGAGATGGTCGGTCCCCACCAGGAAAGAGCCCCGGCCTGCCAGGCACGCTGGAGCCCTCTCCATCTGTCCTGTCTGAAGGCACTGGGTCCTTGGCTGCCCTATCCCGGGCCTGACCTGGCCAGGAAGGCCTGGAAGGGGACGCACATGGGAAAGTGGGCTCTGCGGATGTCTATGGCCTCCAGGATGCCAGCCTGGTGCAGCTGCTCTGCCACACGTTCCACATCGAAGAGGCCTGGGATCTATGGCCAGAGCCAGAGTGGATGAGAGGAGCCATTGTGGGGTTACAGCTAAGGGGAGGGGCGGATCTGGGGCTCAGTGCGAGGGGTGGGGGCGCTCACCTTTCCAGGGTTGGGGTTGAGGCACTAGATAAAATAAATGTGACTCCTGCAGAGTAAAGGGGGGGTTTCACTGGGCACAGACCAGCCCCCCAACTCACTGGGGCCTCCAATTGGGGTCCCTCTTCTCACCTGCCCAGTTGTGCTAAGAGGTTCCCCAGAGACTGCAGGAAGTGGGAGGCCAGTGTGGCTTTGTCTCTCTGGGGCGCTGTTTGCTGAAACAGGCTCCTCACCAGCTGCCGGCAAGATGGGGCTGAACTGCTCCCCACTCTCCCAGCCTGTCCACCTGTCCCACAGCCCCGGAGAGCCAAGACCCCGGGGTGCCCCTCGGGCAGGAGCCTACAGGGAGAAGGCAGAGGGAGGGCTGCCACAAGGCACCTGCAGCTGGCTCTGGGCAAGCATCTCCACCACGGCGGGATCCAGGTGGTCTCGTTTCGGTTTAAGAACTTGTGAACCGGCCAGAGATGGACGGGGAGCCACAGAACAAAGGCTGAGGTGACTTGAGTGGTTCTTGGGAGATCATAGCCTCTCCCACATGCTTCACAAGACCGGTACTCCATGGCGGCCGCAGTGCTGGGGACTGAAGCTGAGGCCTTCACACTGAACTATATCACTAACCCCCGCTTTTTACTTTTTGAGATAGGGTCAGATCACTCAGGCTGAAGCTGCGTGTGGTGATGCCTGCAATTCCAGCACCGGAGAGGCTGAGGTGGGAGGATCGTAAGTTTGAAGCCAGCTTGGGGCATATAATAAGTTCAAGGCTGGCCTGCACTTAACAGTGAGAGTACGCCTCAACAAAACAAAACAAAACAACAACAATGACAAGACAAAACTCAGAGTGAACTCTAACTTCCTATCCTCTTGCCTCAGTCCCCGGAGTGCTGCGATAACAGGTCTGTGCCACCATGCATGGTTACGATGATTTTTATCAAAATCCATTCCTCTCCTCTTGTAGGAATTCCACCTTGGCATCGTGTTACTTTTGTGGAATAACTATACAAGAATAGACCAGGCTGTTCCCACTGAACCATGTCTGTCTGTCTGGCTCGCTCTCGCAGTGCTGGGGATGGAACCCCCAGCCTCACACCCACTGACCCACAGCCCCGGCTCTAGTTTCCTTCACTCCAACTCCCTGTATTTCTTGTTTGAGTAACTTTTTTCTTGGTTTTTCTCCTGCAATCAGAGCATGCCACCTCTTCCATCAGTCACACTGTCCCTCCTGGGGGACCCAGTACCCTCCCTCAGTGGCTGTCCTCTTGGGCAAGCAAAAAGCCTTCCCTGGTGACACAGAATTTAAGGGCTGGCCCCTCAGTGAGCACCTGCTGGGCCTCTCGGTCTTACAGACAATGCCACAGGCTAGGTTTCTGAGCCCATTTCACAGGTGAGGAAAGAGACCCAGCTCTCACTAAGGCATTTCCCAGCCTTGTGCCCTGCTCTACACCTGGAAGGCCCCGAGGCTTCGGCTCGCCCACCGCACAATTCCCACCCAGAATCACTAATTCACACTTCTTGGGACTGGGAGGGGCCTGTGGTCTAGGGGAACACACAGCCAAGCCTCAGAAAGGGCTCCCCGTCATCCCCTCCTCCCCCCTCCTGGTGACTCAGTTTGGGAGGGGACGCCGAGCTCTTACACTGACTCACTGATTCACCTGGAGTCCATCCCTGAGGCCGGGTACCTGGTAGGTGACAGTCCCAGCATAGTGTCGCACAGTGAAGACAGGCAGGGGTAGCTGGGGCTTGGCGTAGCTTGGGTGGTCACTGTGGTGATAGTGACACTTCTGGAGAAACGTGTGGTTCGTGGCCTGGTAAGGGGAAGAGTCAAGCCTCCCTCAGGCTTTGCAGTGCTCTCCCCGCCTGGACTGCACACCCTCCTGACCCCGTGTGGCACGGCCTGAGCAGAGGGCAGTGGGGTCCCCTTCCCTCAAGTTCTCTCTCAGGCAGGAAGCTCGCTCTGTATTTGAGCCCCTATAAAGGGTTTGTTCTCTTTTTCTCAATGACTTCACTTTGAGCAATCGAATACTGCCTGAGAAAGCCATGGTGGTCTCAGGCCACAGAACCATCTCAGTCAACACTAGATTTGGTGGCTGTGGAAGGCACATGACTGAGCCATTTAAAGAAAATGGCGACGGGGGCTTTAAGACAGAGGGATCTGTCACACCTAGGAGTATGATCCCACAATTCCAAGACTCTGCACTTTCATTCTTTTTGTTTTGTGGTGCTGGGCACGGAACTCAGTCTCACACACAGCGGGCAAGTGCTTTACCATGGAGGACATCTCCAGGTCATAGGTCACGTTCAAAATGTCACCTCAGTAGAGGTCACCTCACAGGGCTAATGAGCAACAAGGCCCAGCCAGCAAAGGCCTGGGGTGTGGGGGGGGGGAAGCACACCTTAATGCCATGCAAGTGACTTGGGGGATAATTCTAGAGCCAGCACTACCTCCCATGCACATGGTGCTGCGTTTCAATCCACACTTAAGGACAGTGCCAAGCCCAGGAAAAGCCTGCTAGGTTTTTCCAAAAATAGCCCTGGTCCTCAAGGACACCTTCAACAGTTTAATAAAACTTTCTGGAATGTGAACTAGGAACAACAATTATTTACAAGTTGATGTACTGCTATATCTAATCAGGAATTTCAAATAGGTGTTAATAAAAACTCAGGGCTTTCATACTGAGCTACATCCCCAGCTCACTGGATTTTGAGCTTTTTATTTTGAGAGAGGGTCTTGCTAAGTCCCTAAATTTTCCAGGCTGGGGTTGAACTTGTGATCCTTTGGCCTCAGCCCCCACAGAGAGCCGGGATTACAGTTGTGTAACACTGTACCTGGTGTTGTCTCTCTCTGTGAAAACAATCTATTTAGCCTAGGGTGGCCTCAAACTTGAAATTCTCTTGCCTCAGCCTCCTGAATACTGGAATTAGAGGTATATACCTGGGCATTTCTTTTTTTTTTTTTTTTGGTACCAGGGATTGATGACTTCACACACTCATCAGGCAGGTGTGCTTATGCTGCTGAGCTAAATCCCTGGCTCATTCCTGGGCATTTAAAAAAATTAACATTTCTTGGGGCTAGGGATTTAGCTCAGCGGCATAAATACCTGCCTTGCAAGCAGGCGGTTGTGAGTTCGATCCCTGGTACCGATAAAAAAAAAATTAACATTCCTTTTTTTTTTTCTTCAGGCATGGTTTTTATTTTTATTTTTATTTAAAGAGAGAAGAAAAAAAGAAAGGACATAAAAATAACAATGCAGTAAAAGGGTACAAATAATACAGTATTTCTAGAAAAAAAAATATAGACAGTTCGAAATCACCAGTTAACAGGCTACACATTATCTTCCTAGAAACAGTTGTCCATATCACTAAATTAAAGCATATAAAGTGAACATTCATACAGTGGAATTGGAGACAGTTCTGTTCAATGATCCAACAAAAGCTCAGTTATATGGTTTTCCGTCCTAAACATTTCTTTCTTGCTATACTGCACACTTCAAGACAGGGGACTGGGTCTATGATCGTCTTTTATCCTTAGTATGGTCCTCTACCTTCCTTTTTGAGGGAACCCTAAACACGTGCTGGGGCAGAGCTGGAAGCCTCGTACAAGGTCCCCAGCCTACACAGAACTTAGTCCAGTGCAGAGGAAAGAGTAAATGAATAAATCTGCTCTACAATCACACTGGCTGTGTTAAAATGTAAAGAACAAGGCTAAAGGACACTAAGTACTGCTACAAATTAAAAAAAAAAAAAAAAGAACAAGGCTAAAGCATAAGGGGGAATATTTAGGTAGAGAGGGCAGAAGGTAGGTAAAAACTTTTCATGGAATGCATGCACATGTCCATGAAATTAGTGCCCTACAGTTGGAGCCTGAGTGACACCTGGCCACCATCAGAGAGGATCCACAGAAGTCCTTTGTGAGCCCTGCCCAGGCCTTGCTCACTGGGCACTTCTGACCCCTTCTGTGGCAAGAACTTGATCCCCAGAGGCTTAGGATCTTGCTTGAGCTTCCCCAGAGATGAGGTAAGAGCCAGGGCCTCCCCTTGGGTGTCCTTTCCAGGCTGTGCCCAGTGACTGTGGGTGGGGTCTCCCACACTCAGCCTCACCATCACCCAGGCTGCTCTGCTGGCCCCCACTTCTTATCCCTAACACTGGGGTCACATGCCACCCTCACCTGAGACAGCCATGTCTGGGCATTCAGGATACTCAGGAGCTGTGGGGCTGGTCCACCAGGAGGTCCAGGCAAGACTCCCATGGAGGCTGAGGGATGGGCACCCAGGGCAGCAGCTCCCGCTGACACTCCTCCTGAAACAGCCCATGTCTGGCCTTTTCTCTCCTTTTCCCTTTGACACTGGAGACTGAATCACTGAACTCCATCCCCAGCCCTTTTTTATTTTTATTTTTTTACTTTGACATAGTGTCTCAAACTAAGTTGCCCAGGTTGGTTTTGAACTTGCAATTCTCCTGCCTCAGCCACCCAGAGTGCTGGGATTTAGGCATTTATAGTTCATATTCTAGAGGGACTCACTGAACTGGAACACAGTGTGAGCTCCTGCTTTACAGATTAGTAAACCAAGGCCCAGAACTGAGTCTCCCCAAAGAAGAGGAGCTGTGGGGTTAAGCTCTTGTGGCACCACTCTCTCTACGGAGGTGGCTCCCTACCTCCTCCTGGGCCTGCAGTGTCTGGCTGGAGAAGAGCCACAGGCGCTCGCTGGCCAGGTTGTTGCAGACTGTTCACCCGCAGCGCCTGGGGCAGTGGGCAGGAGGTGGGTACAGGGTAGGTGGCCTTGTCCTTGGAGGCCATCACTTTCCTGAGGGCATGACTGCTGTGTGTGCAATTGTGTGTGTGTTTGGGGTGTGCAGCCACACGCAGGGGGCACTAGCTGGCCTATCGCTATGTGCTGAGGCCACAGAGGAAGACACACAGACCCTTGGAAAAGGCCCAGAAAGGCTTCCTGGAGGCCACATCCAGGGCTCTGCTTATGAGGACATGCGATTCTGACAGTCAGCAGGCAAAGGAATTGACAAAGGCACATACCAGAGCCTGCGGCGGCTGAGGCCAGCACATCAAGGCTCACAGTATACTGGAGCAGGGAACAGAGCTGTGTGCAGCCAGCAGAAGGCTGGCCATGCACGGCCCTGCTCTGCGCCAGGACCTTCGGACTTGACCCTTGCTGCTGCAGCATCAGCCCCGGGCACCCCTCCTCTCTGAGTCCTGGAGAGAAGGATGGGACAGCCCCTAGGGAGCCAATGAAGGGCTCGGGCCACGTGTGCAGCCCCAACTTCCCCTGTGCCCACTTCCCCTGCCCACTGCACACACAGCACAGTCACTCCCTCCAGGAAAGTGATGGCCTCCAGAGACACACACCAAGGACCAATGCCACCGAGGACACAGATGGGGGCAGTGAACACTGCGCATTCAGGGTTGAAGGGGGCCCCCTCATCCCCCTCTAGGCCCCCTTGGCCCAAAGAGGGGAACCCTTTGATAAGGGATGCAGGGGCTGTGGGAACTCAGGGAGGGTTGGGGACTCTCCCTCTTCCCTCTTCTTTGGCGAGTGGGAGGTGAGGCTGGGTGTGGCCCATCCTGGGGCCTCCGTGGGTCTCTCAAGGCCAAGTGAGACAGAACTCTCCAGAGCAAGTGTTGGGGCAGGGCAGAAAGGCTGCACCTATGGAGCAGACAGCTCTCAGGGACCTTCCTCCTCCCTGATCCTTACTTCCAGACGGCAATGCTGGCCTCAGCCAGGTTAAGGACACGCAGAGGGGAAGCCGAGGCCCCGCTTGGAAATGCACGCAGGCATGTGGCAGGGACATCCTCGTCTCAGTCACGCACTGGCTTGCTCGGGAGGTGAGTGAAGTAAGAGTCCCATGGTTACCTGCCAGCATCACCTGAGTCCCCAGAGGAGGGGCCTGTTCCCTTACCTCCCCATCCCCAGACCCCCACCCTCCATCCTGGTGCTGCTGCCCCCTCAGCTGCCCAGTAGTTATAGAAGAAAGAGCCAGGAAAAGGACACGGCCTGACAGGCAGGCAGCTCAGGAGGAGCTGGTGCCCTCCAGAAACGCATCACAATGAAGTGGGCTCCCCCATCCTGGGTCCCTCCCTGAGGACCGACCTCAAAGCCATAGGCATCCACCACAGTGATGGTGCCCTTGCTGCCTCCCTCTCCAGGGGGTGCCAGTCGTGTGTTGATCCTCCTGAGGAGCCAGCTGAAGAGCCTCGAGTACAGGGCCTTGGCCAGAGCATCCCTGCAGGCACTGGGAGTCAGCCTCGCAGAGCAGGGCACTGGCCTGGCCCCAGTCTCCCATCCCCAGGGCCACCTGGCATCAGTGGCACTTTCCACAGGCAGGGGTCTTGAGACCTGGCCATAGGGTGTCTCCTGGCTGTCAGACCTGGGCAGGTGCGCCCCCTGGCCACAGGTGGCCAGATTGTTCCTCACCTCCCCAGCACCCCTGGGTTCACCACGACTCTCCGGGTGACAGCCCCTTCTAGGTGCTCTGGTGACACCCGCAGCAGCCAGACTGATGTGTGGATCTCGGCCCAGCTGGACACTGTGGCCACCTCCTGGGACTCCTGCTGCATGGAGCAAGAGACAGGGAGTCAGCTGCCCTGGTACCCAAAGGGACCACAACAGCATATGGGAGATCTGGGTCATCATGAGACAGCCTCTGGCTCTGAGGGCCTTGATGTGAGTCCTGACTTTCTCTCCTTACTAGCCAGGCAGCAGTGTGAGTCCATTTCCCTTCCTGAGCCCCCACTGCCTTACTGCTAAAGGGGAAAGAGTAACATCGATTATCACAAGAGCTAAGTTAGAAAACATACATAATAGCTGCTCAGTTAATGCCAGGTGCTCTTCTTAGGGGCAGCTGGGTGGAAGAGGTATTGGGAAGATATAGAAGCACCAAGGCTACCTTCTCATGGGAACAATGGGGACTTGTCTGCTTTCTGGAGTGGCCCAGCCCGTAGGGAAAGCCCACCTCTGAAGAAGAGAAGCAGATGTTGCCCAGCTGCAGAACACTAGCCAGCAAGGCCCAGACTGTGGTCAACTCTTCGGGGCTCAAGCCCAGAACCTGCAGGGCCCTCAGTAGCCTTGCGAAGTCGTGGGCGTCGTCCTTGCCCTGGAGCCTGCAAGCCCGGCCCTGCAGGGCACAGTAGGGCTGAGGGGTAGGGCCTGGTCCTCCCTCAGCACCCTCCATCTGGCTCCTCTCAGGGCCGCCAATGGAGACACTCCTGTCTGGGCAGCTCCCTCTGGGCACTACCCCACCTGGTTGAGGTAGCAGTAGGCCTCTGGTCCCTGAAGTGAGAGCTGCTCCCTCTCCATGGTGTCCAATCCCGCCAGCAGCTCATAAACACATGTAAGCTCCGTTCAGCCTGGGCCTTGGGGAGCACGGCTGGATTAGAGGAGCAGTGCCTGCTGTCCCAGTCCCTTCTTTCCCACTCTGAGGGCTGTGATGGGGTAGACAGGAAGGTGACCCTTACCTGAAACACCACTCTGGAAGTCTCGAGCAGATAATGTGACACAGAGGCTCCTGTGATGAGCCCACTGTGGACACAGGGGCAGATCTGGGTTCCTGGGGCATACAGCAAGGGGCCCTCCCAGAAGGGGTACTGCATTCCCAGTACTACCATGCCCCCCGGGACCCCATCACTCACTGCTGCAGATAGAGGCACAAGACCTGGCCAAAACTGCTGGCATTGGCATTGAGGATGGTCTTGGCGTGGCCAAAGCTACTGAGTACTGGCAGCAGGTCACTCAGCTGTGTGAGGGGAGGGTCAATCAGGAATCCCTGGGACAATGGTACCCACTGTCCACTGAGGGCTGGGGGCCCTCACCCCCGCCCCCAGGGCAGGCCAGGCTTGTGCCTAATGCTACAGCAGAAGTCAGAGGCTTCAACCCACCACCCTCCTGGCCTAAAGGAGAAGAATGGCCTACCTCTGGAAAGTGGCCAGCTGCCTCCTGGGAGATAGCCTCCACCCTAGCCTCACCTGGCACCTTCTTTCCCCTGTCTGTCCCTGCTCCAGGCTGCTTAGGAACTGCAGGATCTTCTCCATAGCTTCTGTCTTCCCTGAGCCACTGCGTCCCCTGCAGGAGGGAAGAGCTAAGGCTATGTGAAGGCCTCGGGAAGGTCTTCAGGGAGGGCACAAGGCACTGTCCCGCTGAGCCTGGGAACTGAGGCTGTGCCACCTAGAAGAGACACCTACCCAAGGGGAGATCCCCAGAGGTGTGGAAAGAGAAAGTCAACACATGGAGACCCAACAGAAATGCCACTCAAGGGTGATGTGTGATGACCTCAAGCATGGCCCTGATAAAGTCCAGAGCTGCCACCCACAGTGCAGGCCTTCAGTCCTATGGGCTCAGCTAGGCAGGACAGTAGGACTCACCCCAGGAGGATGCAGGGGTGCTGGCCTGGGCTCTGAGACAGGCCGTGGGCTGCTGCCATGACAGCAAAGATGTGTCCAGAGAAGGAGAAAGACAGGTATCTGGGGAGTGTCCCAGGTATAGGTTGGATGTACCTCAGTCACTGGATGTGCTGGGGCCTGGCTACCTAGAGGTAAGCACAGGGTCAGAGGCAAAGTCACCTACGGGGTGGTGTTGGGGGTCTTCCCCGGGTGGTAGCTGGCCAACACCTCAGGTGAGAAGAGAGGCAGGGGCTGGTAGGGGTTCAATGCAAGCAGGAGGGCCCCTCCAAAAGTCTGGGAAAGAAAGCAGATGCTGCCATCACAGCACGAGGGAGCAGAGGAATGTAAATGGGGCAGCTTCCGTCCTCCCCTCCCCCCAGCCCTGACTGGGCTCTGTAGGACCGCAGGCAGAGGGCTCATCGCACAGCCCAGGGACTGACAGGCCTCAGTGTGCTGGGGAGACTCTGTGGGGGGGGGGCAGCCCACTACTCCTCCCTGGAGCCCCCCATACGTAGATGCGGCCGAGGTGAAACCTCTTCTTGAGGCACAACAGCACGGAGCTGTCACACACCAGCCTGTGGGGACAGGAAGGGTGCCGTGAGCAGCGCATGAAGGCAGTCCTGGGCTAGCTCTGCCCCTGGATGCAGGGCCCCCTGAGGAGAGGCACCCATGTCACAGGGCTCATGCCTGTAATCCTAGTGCTCTGGGAGGCAGGAGTAGCACAAGTTTGCACTCAGCCTGAGCAACCAGTGACTTAGCAAGACCCTGTCTCAAAAATAAAAAATATAAAAGCTGTTAATGTAGCTCAGCCCTGACTTTATCTCCAGTATCTACCGGTACTTCCTTCCCCTCCAGGGGAGTTTTTGGTAACCTTGGAACTCCAAAGCAGCACCAGGCCCGCATCCAGGGAACCTTTTGCCAGGTAGAAAAGATGTCCCCTGAGAGATACCTGACTTTCCACGCCTCACCTGCCCGTTCAGCCAAAAGAGCTTTTGTGGGGCAAAAATCTTTCAAGGATCGCAGAGCATCTATACATTTATAAAGAGGAGAGTGGGGGAGGACGTGAAGAATCGCGCCCGCTCACCGCAGCTAGGTCAGGTCCTGTGTCTTCTAGATCCTCTCCAAGTCTCCTGTCCTCTGCACCCGCACCCGGGAAGGACTGCGATTCCAGGTCAGGCCCAAGGCTGCGCTCCAACTCCTTCTCCAGCGCTGCCTCGGCCTCGTCCTCTGGCTCCCACTTCCCGCTGGGAGGCCCGCAGGAGCTCCTCTCGCGCTGCAGGCGGTTCTCCAGGGCGAGTCGGGGTAGCAGCTCGTCGGAGGCCGTTCCAGGGTCCTCAGAGAGCCTGAACCCAGTGCCCAGTGCCTGGGGGTCGCGGCCTCCGAAATCTCCGGCTCTGCTTCGGTACTGAAGCCTTTCTCTAGCAGAGCTTCGTCGGGTGGAGTAGAGGAGACCAAAGAGGCGCGGCAGGACCCGAGGATCCCCTGCCCACTCATCCTGCGGCCCTCAGTGTCCCCTCCAACCCCTGCACGAGGCCACACGCAGCCCTCCGCGCTGGGGGCGTCCGAGGACGCTTCTTCTGAGCTCCGGATGCTCGACGCCCTCCCCGCCCTGTGGATCCCGGGAAACACCACCGCGAACTTGGGATCGCGAGTCGGGTCCTCGTGGTCACCAGATTCGTCCCGGCCAGGGCTGCTCCGGGACTGCGAAGGGCTCAAGTCGCCGCTAGAGGGCGCCCTAGGCGGTGCCCCGAACTCGGCTAAACCTGCCAAGCGCAAAACCAGCGGGCGCCCAGCCGGAACCCGCGGCCCCGCCCTCGCCCTCCCTCCCGCCGCCCCGCCCCTCGCCCGCAGGCGGTCGCAGCCGCCGCCTCAGCCACCGCAGGAGCCCCGGGGCATGCACTACTCGGAGGAACCGCGCCCCTGGGATCCACTGCCCGGGGAGAGGAGCCTGGTGCAGGCTCCGCGCGGGCCCTGCGGTGCACCACGAGGTCCCCCGGCACTGCTCCCGCTCTGACCCCGCCTGGCCCTCAGCCGCCGCCTGCGCCTTCCCCACCTCCTTTCCGACGGGGCGGCGCTGTGCCTCAGCAGTCGAGGCTCCCGCCTTTTCGGCCGCAGCTCTTGGCTGCGACCCGGAGTCGTCTAGGGCGGGGGAGTCCGCGTCGTTCCCGCTCGGCGCCGCCTCGCGGGTGCAGGGAACCGGGCTGGCGCTGCGCTCGGCGGCGCCCAGGCCCGGGTGCGTCCCCGAGCCCGAATCCTCGCGCGGCCCCTCGGCCCCAGTTCCCGACGCCCCGGTGCGGGCTTTGTCGTTGCTCTGGCGCTCACCAGGCTCCAGGGCCGGCTCTGGCCCGATCGCGGTCCCTTCCGCGCCCGTGTCCACTGGCTCCGACGCCTCGCGGGCTTCGCTGTCCGGGCACGAGCTGCCCCCGTCCGCGCCGGAGGAGGCCCCGCTGCGACCCCTCCGAGCCGGCGCTCTGCGGCCCTGTCCTCTCTTGCGGTGGCAGCGCTGACCCGTCCGCCCTTACCTCCTGTGGAGGCTCTGCGCCCCTTCCTCCTTCTCCGACCCCGCACCTCGTCTCCGGGGCGCGCCCCAAGGCTGTTCCCGGGCGCGCAGCCCTGCGTGGGCCGGGGTCCCTGACACCACGTGCTATCTCGCCTCTTCTGGGCGTGTGGTGGCGGCCCACCTCCAGACCTGCAGCTTCTGGTACCCTTGGCGATGGGCTTTTTGCTGCCACCAGTGGTCCGTTTGTCCTCCTCGCTGTCGGGCTCCGTGACCAACGTCGCTTGGCGGGCTTTTTGCGGGCCGGGCCCGGGGTCCCCGGACTCGGATTCCTGTTCGGCTGAGCTCGGCTTCTGTGGTCTCGCCCGGCGTCGGGGCGCTTTGCCCTTGCTTCCACCCATGACTGACCCAGTGAACGCGGCCCCCTGATGGTTCGTTCTGTGCTCGTCCCTTTCGGGGGAGCTGCCTGCCCTCGGCTCGGGCTGCGCACCAGTCCGGCTGCGCTCTGGCAGGGCTGCGGACTCAACTGACGCTGGGCTCCCTCCGTCAGGCGCGAGCATCGATAATGCAGGAGGTGGCGGGTCCTGACCCCCTTGGCCAACAATGGAGCAAAGGCGACCTGGGAAAGAAGAGACGCTGCAGCTGCGGACAAAGGCCGTGGACAGGGCAACCGTGCTGGACCTGGTGCCAGGCTGAAGAACCTCACGGGGTGAGAGTGAGGCTTAGTGAACCTGTTGGGGGCTCCCTGAGTATTTCTGGTTGTTTTTCCATTGTAAAATGGTTTTACTTAAAGTGCACACGATGTGGATGTAAATTTTGAATTGCTGTCAAACAGATCCGTATAACTTTCGTAGTCCTAAAATATAAACATCTCGAAAGCGCCCGTTTTAAAAACATTCTTTATTTGTTTATGTTTTGTTTTTTGATACCAGGCCAAGCGGGCTACCACAGAGCCATACCGCCAGCCCTACAGCTTGTTTTTGAACTGTAATACAGTGAACACTCAACACCGGTAAGATACCGTCCCATTCCTGACCAGCTGTTCAGTTTCCCGCGGAAATTACAAATTTCTGCATTTAGAGTTATCTATTCTAAGAAAAGTGAATCTTGTTTATTTTCCCCCTTAGTGTATTTTGTATTGTAAATTCATCTTAAGTTATAAGCTTAAGTTCATCTTAAGTTGTAATTGAAATATAATTTCATCCATATTCAAGTAAAATTAGTTCCTAAAAGTAAACTTGTTGGACCACAGTGTATGTGCGTTTGCAGTTTTAATATTTCCAAAATTTCCTCCAAGGAGGTTGTGCTAATTTATGCTTATACCAGTAAGATAAAAGACCACTGGTTCCTTCATGGTAGTAATGCTGAGTATTATCCACTTATACATGACAAATAAAACCTTAATACCTTAAACTCATTTCTCTGTGAAAACACACACCTTTCCTCCTGTTAGAGCTACTGTGATTCCTTTTTTGTGACCTGTCTTTTCTTATCCTTTGTCATTTTGGCCATGGAGGATTCTTGCTTGCTTGCTTGCTTTCTCTTCTTTCATATTTGGATTTGCACTGAGCTACATTCCTAGCCTTCACATTAAGCTAAATATCTAACCATTAATGTTTTTTAAAATTTTGAGACAGAGTCTGACTAGGCTTGAACTTGCAATCCTCCTGCCTCGTTCTCCCAGGATACTGGGATTGCAGGCATGAGCTTATTTCTTTTTCTTTTTGGGAGAGGTACTGGGCTTGAACTTGCAACCTCACGTATGCCAGGCAAACGCTTATGTTGCTGAGCTAAATCCCCACGCCCTGGCTTATTTCTTTTCTTTCTTTTTTTTTCATTACCGGGGATAGAACTTAAAACTTTACGCTTGCCAGGCAGGTACTTAGGCCACTGAGCTAAATCCCTGGCCCACCTGCCTTATTTCTTGGTGGTTATACTGTTGTTTAACCTAAGGATAATGCCCAAGGCCATTGGAAGGGCTATGGGCAAGGCAGCTGCTGCATGGGCAGCTCTGGGGCCCAAGATGGAGCCAGGCCCCCTTCCATGGACTCCCTTGGCCTTGTTGACATCTTCCTCTGGTCTCTCCTTGCCAGCTTTCCCATCCAGCTCCAGAGCAGCAGGTGAACATTGCAGACTGCAGCCCTTTTCCTCAGGATGGCCTCTAGTTGACTGCCTTGACACTTTTTTTTTTTGTCTTTTTTGAGACAGGGTCTCACTGTGCAGTTCAGGCTGGCCTTGAGCTCACTTCGTAGCCTAGGCTGGTCTCCTGCCTCAACCTCCCGAGTGCTGGGATTACAGGCGTGAGCCACCACGCCCTGCTGACTGCCTTGACATCTTGCACATCTCCTTAGACCTGTTCTCAGACCTGGTGGAGCTGCTGTATGTACTCAGGATGCCAGAAGGTCATTCAGCCCAGAGTTTGTAAATGACTTGGCCTTTGCGGCGTGCATCTCAAGAGGCAGCCTTCTTGAAGAAGGGGCAGCAGTCTGAAGACACCACAAGCTCATCGTAAGGGGGACACTAGCCTGTCTATAACCTGTCCTGCCCATACTAACACTGAGTGGGTGTAGGAGGATGGGATCCAGAAGGCTTGTGTTGCCTGTAAAAAGCAGAACATAACGTGAGGCCATCACACAGTGGATCGGTACACAGAACCAGGAACCAGCAACAACAGAGACAATCTTGCAACTGTAGTAGTGAGTGAAAGCAGCCAGGCAGGACAGAGTAACTTACCACTCTAGAGTTCTGTTTGTCAGTAGTGCAGAAGCAAGAAGGTCAACCTGCATAGAGAAAGAGCTGTTTTGAACTAGATAAAGCAACTCAGCAGGGGACCAGGTTCCTCACTTTTTTTTTTTTTTTTTTTTATCGGTACCAGGGATTGAACTCATGACTGCCTGCTTGCAAGACAGGCGCTTATGCCACTGAGCTAAATCCCCAGCCCAAGGTTCCTCACTTTCTAAACATCCTTGTCCTGTGCAAGAGGCGGGCACAGAGATCATAGGAGTGCTGTACCCATCATAGGGGTGCGGTGGCCTTTTTACAATATAAGGGAAAAGAGTCTTGTTCTCCCCTTTGTTTTGCCCTTGTTGCTTCGCTGTGTTCTGCCACTTTAAGGTGTTGTGCCTGTTCCAAGCCACCCTGTCTTGGAGCCAGCTGATTAGGATCTGAAACTTCCATAAACTGTAAGCCAAATAAACCTTTCCTCCTTTAACTTTGGGTGTTGGGTATTTTGTCTTGGCAATGATGGAAAAGTAACTAAGACAAGGTAGTCGTTATAAAGGGGTTCTTTTTTTGTGATTGGGTTGAAACTAGAGTCACTGTACTAAGTGACAACCTTTGCCCTTTTAAAAATTTTTTATTTTGAAGGAAGTTCCCATTAACTTGCCCAAGTGGTACTTCAGCTTGTGGTCCTCCTGGTTCATTCTCCCAAGCTGCTGAGATGACAGGTGTGTACCACCTCCCCTGATGTGATAACACTTTATGGATGATTCCCTGAGCTAGCGAGTGCTGCAGCGATGAGACCAGGCCAGTCTAGCCCCAAAGGCCCAGCTGAAGCAGGAGTGTGAGGCCCTGATGTCAGCTACAAAGCTGGTGGCCTGGGTCCCTTGTGGCCTGGTTATGAGTCCTGTAAGCTCTGGGGACAGAGCTCTTTGAACTCTTCACACAGGCCAAGTTCTGTGTCCCCTTCTAATCGCCTGTCTTCTTGGGTGTCCTCCTTTCCTTCCTGTTGATCCAGGTCACCCAACTAGGTGGTTGTGGCAGGCTTCTTACCCTTAGAGCCTCAGTTTCCTCTCCAAATACCATTCCATTTATTCTTCTCTCAAATCCAGGAGTGAGATAGGATCCATTTCTCAGATATGGAAATGGCTCAGAGAACTTAAAGAACTTAAGGACACATAGTCTGTCAAGTGAGGAATCAGGGCCAAACCCTTTGGTTCTTCATTCCCACTCTTCTGCTGAGCCCATGCCGTGGAGCGCCCCAGGATTTCTGCTGGAGTGAGACATCCTTAGCACCCCGTGTCAGCGGCTTCTCTCCATCTCCATCCTGTGTGACCTTTCAGGTTGTTTCATGCACAAAAAAGAATAAAAGCGAACATTTAATACTGTATTAAGGGAGTAAAGGATCATTTGGAACAGTTATCTCAGAGCAGCCAGGGGACACCTTTTGGAGAAACCCAATTAGATCCTGAAAAAATGATTTTTTAAAAATGACATACCGGTAGAAGTGATGGATGCTTATGTAGTAGAACTCGATTGGAGAGTGACAGCTCCAGGCAGCTGTTTCTGTGTGAACAGAGCCCTCCCCACACACTTGCTGTACTTTTTCTTCTCTGCTGGGTCTCTGACTCCTGCATCATTCCATGTCTGTTCCAACTTGGCCTTGGCCAAGAAGCAGAGTGCTTAGATGTGGCGGGCCCCAGCAGCTGAGTAGGAGGCCAGGTGAATCAAGTGCCTGCCGTTCCTGTTCCTGCTGTAGGACTCACTGAGCAGTGTGCTGGGGGACTGAGGAACCAGAGGCAGACCTTGAGGGGGTTCTCTGTCATGCTTTATGCTTATTGCCCTAGTAATCGTATACCCAGAGCACCTACCACATTGTTATAAATTAGTTATAAATTAACTGACCGAGTCATCATGCTGTTCTGTATGTATCGTCCCATCCCCCCCCCCCAGTAACCTGTTTGCTGTGTCAACCTTTGTTTCCCTTGTAAGAGACAAAAGATGCTGTGGCAACCATTGTTCCCTTTATGAGAGACAAATGTTCCTGGAATTGGCAGACCAAGGGCTATGAATTAGCTAGCCACCCACTGTGAAATGTCTCTGACCTCAAGCAAAGGGGAACAAAGGCCTACCTTGTTTCTGTTTCTCATCACTATGTACTTAATGATCAATGAGCTAATCATAAATGAACTATAAAAACCAGTCAAAACTCTAACTCAGTCACACAGCTTTGCAAATTCCATCTGCATTGTGTCGCTGGGCCAGCTAAAATAAAAGCGCTTCTTTGAAAAATGACATCGTCTTGCCCCATTTTTCATCTCATGGGGTCTTGTTTTTTTGGGGGGTTACAATATTCTCCACTGGGGAGTAGGGAAAAGGCCTTATCCAACAGTTTGGAACCCGCTTTGCATTTTGAACCGCGCCCGTGTGTGTGTGTGTGTGTGTGTGTGTGTGTGTGTGTGTGTGATGCTCAGCAAAATAAGTCAATAAAACAGTGAAACAGAAAGTGAGGTTCACAAATGAGCAGCTCAGAGCAGTGTATCAATGTGGAAATAAAGAAACAAATGCAGGTCAAAGCCCTCCTGTGGCTTTGGGCCCCAGCTAGCAGAAGTGTGATGTTACTGCCAGAATGGGGGGGGGGGGGGTCCTGTGCTCAGTGGAAGAGCCAGACTCTCAGTGCTGCTGGAGTCAGTAAAATACACACTCACATGGACACTTCCAAAGTTCCCAGGATGACCCCGGTGTCCTTACTAGGAGTCAGGCTGTTAGTTTCCTGAGGTTTCCAGTAATCTTCCCCACACCCCTGAATTAGGTCCCGATTCCTGCTGTGCTGGCAAGGAGC